AGCGTAAAATGATGCGATTTGGAGCAAAAAATGGTAAATTCGTGAATAAATCGCACCAATTAGAGCCAATCAGATTACAGGGACCACCAGTGATTTCAAAATGAATGTAATAAATTAAAGAAAGATGTGTTTCTTTGTGATTAATGATTAAGACGGACGTTTCGACCTCGTGCATTGATGCGCTACCAACTGTGCTACAGAGTACTCCCTTAGCTGAAGACTTTTCGACAGCAGATCATGATAAGATCTGCCTCCAATGTATCGTTCATTTCTGCCAGTGCATTGTTGTTATGGCGGACATCCACCACAGATGTTAAAGTGACAGCTGTCGCACCAAAGAATCCTCTCACCCAAACCCTTATACTGACGCGCAATTGACAGAAAATTGAAAGATGTCAAAACAGTGAGTACGCTGACTCTTAAAGTGCAACAGATTTTGACGTTATACTTGCGTTGAACCAACTTACAAAACTCTGGTATTAAATTCCTTTACCAATACGTCAGACAAATTGCGGGCTCGGAAGGACAACTTTTACTATCACAGTTGTACGCGTATTCGTAAATTTATAATCGGTGACTTACAGGGCAAGATATCTACCGACTAGTCTATATATTATCGCGTATATTTATCACAACTATCGATTATCTTGCCTTTTTTCTAAGTTAGAATCAAATTGAACTATAGAGCTACGGCATTCGACTTATCACGGTCAGTTGGTATGGTTCTGTCTCTCAAAGTATAAAATATATTCCACAGTTAATGTCAAGCTTTTATTTCTTTATCTCTTTATTTATTTTTGTTGTCCTCGTCTCTTCTCCTCGGCCTCTCCGTCAGTGGATTGCTTTAGGTTTGTTCTGAAGAATCAGCCTATCTCCATGGTCTTCCATCACCGATTACACAAATATTATGTCATTACATCTGTCAAAAATCTGTTGTACTCAAGAGTCTGAGTCCGTGATATATGATGAGGTATTGGTCGGCGTACTCATTGTTTTGCCATCAGTTAAATTGGAACCAAACACACATTAGGGTTTGCAGTCGATGCTTCTCGGACTACTTCTCTTGTAAAGAGAGATTATGACTGATATCAGTGCGATCCCGCAATGTGTCATGGATACTTGTCAGAGGATTCTTTGCTATGACAGATGCCACTTCAACATCTCAGTGTAGATGTCCGCTACAATGCACTGGCGGAGATGAACGATTGCATTGGAGGTTTTATAATATTTAGGACAGTTATTTCACTTAGGCCTTCCACATCTTGCACTAAGAAAGCACTCTTTAAATCAGAAATCACATACCCATCAGTATTTCGACAGCACTTCTCACTCCTATCTCCTCAAGGGCGTCTGTAAGAATTCCCAGCGTTGCCCTACTTCCCTTCACTTGTAGCCACCTTTCCATCACTTTCCACGCCCTTTCACTGCACGAACTGCAGTCATTCTCCAAATTACGAACCTCAGCCGGTGGTAACTCTAAGAGAGTACCTAGCTCTCTCCACAATTCACTAACGTCTTTATATATTGACAATATGTGGATTTCAGTGACACGGGTGTGTCGCCATTGTGTGTTATCAAAGGCGTCTGCAAAAAAGTTTTTGCCTCATTGAAAACAAAAATTGTCGCATGAAAAAGGTCTAAAAGACAAAAAAGAAACAAAGGTTTCCTGAGAGCCGCAGAAATTATTTCTATGGCTGTCACATAGTGTTATATATCAATTACAATCAACGACTTGGAGGGGATAGTCTGTACAACTGAATGAAACTGATAGCATTCAAGTTATGAAATTAGAACTTTAAGAACCTTTATTGCTGGCTGAATCACTCATCTCTCCAAGAGAGTCGGTTGATAAGCTTGTCAAACTGAGGCAATTTCTAGATTCTGACTTAGCTAAAGTAATTAGGGAAAATAATAGACTCCAGTGAGGACCCCAGTTTACCTGCAATTATTTTTTCTGGGGTGCGACAGTGCAGCAGCGCAAGAACCAGTGGTCAGGTACTTTAACCAAAACAAGCATTTTGGCATACAAGCTGTATGTGTCGCTCTGTGGAGCAGAGTTTTGAGTATTTTGTATCCGGTTAAAGCAGGAAATTGAGAATTTTTGGTCTTTATTGATGCTGATTATTTCCTGACGTTTTGTAAATCATTTCTTAAGAAACCAACTTTCCTTGGGCAGGGTATTACATGGTTGCTATGGTTTCAGTGCCAACAAGTAATTGGTCTCTTTACTATTAGTAAGGTTCTCAGCAAAAGAACATGAATCTTCATCGTATTAAGATGGTAAATATAATTTTAAAGCAAAAATAAACCATGGCAAATTTTCAAAACTCTTTCATAATGTAATTTAGTCTGTAATTTAAAATTAAATGATCAAAAATCTAATCCTCAATATCTTCAGTAGTCAAATCTACGTAAACATCATCTATTTTAATATTACTCCCTCTCTATTTTCCATAATCGAACCCATACATAGCATTAAATAGACAACGAATCGTTAAACAATTATTTTCCATAGTGGAGGTGCATATATAGGCCCTTCTGAATTAGCCAATCAACGCGAGAAAAGCATTATTCACCTTTGTGGTTTGTACTAAATTACATTATTATTTGAAAAGGAAGTCTTGAGGTAGATCCGAACGTTCTGATTTGTTCTTTATTGGTCGGGAGTTTGCTATATGGACCGTTTCCACGGAAACAGTCATGAGCCTTTGTTTTTCTTTCAAACCTTCGAGTAAAACTCCGAGAGAATTTTGTTCAGGGCATCCGTTTTAAACTTTTTTTAGCCGATTTATTTGAAGATTAGGTGTTCTGGCATTTTAGCCCGTTTTCGTTTTGGTCAATCAATTTGATTTCAACCTTCTGCACTCAGTGCATTGTGTTAACTCGTAAGTTCTTCGAGTTTCCTCGGCGTTTCCTTATGTTCTTGATTCTCTTTTTCTGAAGCTTCTCTCACTTCGCGGACTTCACTTACCATCCTTAAAATGCTTATTCTTTCTTGCTTTAGCTCTGCTGTGGCCATTTGTTGCGTGCGCAGGAAAAAATAAAAATTTTGTCTCAGTCGAGGATTCAAAACTCAGCAACTCATTCGAACCCTTTACCTAAGTATTTTGATTGCCGTGATTTCCTAACAGCTCGCAGTTACCATTGATCTTTTAAGGAAAAATTAAATATATATATAATCACTTATATATATATATATATAATACTTGGTTTATTTTCCAAATCGGCACTCCTAATCCCACAGGTATCAACGAACGCTTTTCATTCTTTTCTGTAGGTTATAATTTCAAATCTTGAAAAATTGTCCTACACGAAGTTCGAACTGGCCGAGCTGTGGACGTTCCGACCTCTTGCTTAAATGCTCTTCCAATGGAGTACTCGTTAAGCTCGAGAAAGTGTTGATTGTATCCAAGAGTTTGTATCACGACAAAAATGTACGTGACTCCCCCATAATTCTCTGCGGTATTCTAATGATCCCCGTCAATGGCAGTCAATTTTCCACAGTCCCTCCTTTAAAATCTGTTAGAGACGACTGATCCTCCATAGTTCTCCCAAATAAATTCGTCGATATAACAGATCATATAGGGTTAGCATCCTCACCTTTT